TGACAAAGGCTCGACAGGTACGTTTAATGGGGTGGATCCCATACAGTAGCGGCTCATAGCACCAGTAAGACCTATACTATCATACCGCATCAAACTTCTATTTTTAATAATTTTTTATCTTGTTTCAAAAAAAAAAAAAAAAAAAAAAAAAATAGCTTATAAATACATTGAAAACAACATACAACAGATTTTTCCTGTAATATATTTGTCAGTTGCAAATTATTAAAGACTAAGGTTGATGAAGTCATACATCTGGCAGTAAGCATCTAGGGGGACTGCAGCTCCTATGGACGAGCCGCCACTGGTCCCATAGTACTATGGCTTTGAAGCATGGGTCGGTCCCATAGTACTACAGCATGAGCTCAGCTCAGTCAGATAAGCTATGAGGGGTAAATTTGGGTTTAGATATGCTTAAGTGTGCACCATATAAAAAAAAACCTGCAGCAACCAGTGCTTAATGGGTAAAAAACTGCAACTGTATTTTCGGTTTAATACAGCAACTTTGCAGTGTACTTCGTATGATTTTATGGTTGTATTCTCGGTTTTCTTTTTCTCATTTGATAAAAAGGAAAATATCTTATAGAAATAGAGATGATTTTGATTGGTTTCAGGACTTAAAGTAGCTTGAAATTGAGCTTAAAGTAGCAGAAATGTTGGATTTTTGCTGATAATCCAGAGTACACAAATTACGTCACTCGTCTAATACATGTCCAACTGGTCAGTTTAGCTAAATACATGCCCACAAATTTCAATGACATAATTTTTGCAATAATTACAATAGTGCAGTTGTCTGCATAACAGTAAATCTTTTTTTGTGTGAATAAAAATTCAAAATGGAAAGCATGTGTAATATAGGAGAGGCCTGGGGATGTAACTAATGAACAGAGGAAATGGTTTTCAGTGGCAGGAATGTCTACATTGTTTATTTTGGACCCTATTTTTAAATTGGCAGTTTTTGAATTTTGTGTGATATTGGCCCAATTACCAATTTCTGATCACTTTATTCAGTAATTGAAATTGGTAATGAGTGGTTTCTTGTACTCCATCGATAGAATAGAAGGAATACTAGCTAAATAGCTTTGAGTTTGGCTGACTGAAACAATGGAATTGGCCAAAAATAGGGCTGAAAGTGGGCAAAATCGCCAATGCATAAATATCGCCAAGACTGCAAAAGCATAATTCCGTAAGTTTTTTAATTAATTTTGTACATTTGGTTTCATTATCTTCAGAAAAAGATTCTCTCTCATTTCATAAGTTTTTTTATTTTTTTAAGATCAGGGGTCTTGACCTCGAAAGGGTTAAAATAGCCGTGAAGTGGACCAAATCCCCTATATCAAACGGCTATCAGGTTCAATAGCACATCTGACAAAATGGACTGAAATCCACTTAATCACAAGTTTGTACGGTCCAAGGTTTGTCTGGACATGTCCACTTTTATTGTTCCTGGGCAGCAAGACCAGCCAGGCACTGCCTACATCAGTGTGTTGTCTGTGTGCACATTCATGCCATTATTATTTCATCTCTAATTTTCCTCTGGAGTTACAGTGTTTCTAATAATTTTATTAAAGTAATGTGTACAATCTCCATGGGGAAGTGGATAAGAATTCTTCTTCCATAAGCCATGCATGTCATAAGAGGTGACTGAAATGTTGGGAGCAAGGGGCTAGTAACTTCTTCTCCTGTATAAACTACTTTCATTTTTCTTTTTGGGTCACCCTGCCTTGGTGGGTTATGACCGGTTTGTTGAAAAAAGAAAAATGTGTACAGCTTTATTAATAATGGCCTCTTAAGCAAGTGCTGGTTTCAAGAAGAAAAGTGTGACCTTAACTGTTAAGCAGTGACTTGGATTAATAAGGAAGCTCGAGGCTGACATTCCAGTGGCCTGGGTGTGTGAGGAGTATGGAGCATGTACTCCACTGCATTGTATTGTACTTTCAACCAATTTTCTTTTCAGGTTCATTTATAGGTAACACTGTATTGTACTCTGGTATATTCCTAGTATATCTAGTAGTCCATCAATACAGCGGACTAAGCATGTTTTATTTCGAATTTGTCCATGTCCAGTAGCCAATCGATTAAGCAGACTAAAACCTCTTAATTAAAACATTCAATAAATTTTTTTGGGAAATTGGATACACCCCCATTCCCCTATTAGTTTGTTTTATCAGACCTTTACTATAATTACCAATGTAGCTGCATGGTGTAAATGCTTGAAACATGTGGGGTAAAATATATGAATACTATAACATTGTTTTATATTTAAATACTATGGGAGACCAAGTAGCACTACTTAGTTTAACCAAACTCAAAAATGGTAAACTGTCATTTTTTGCTTATGTTCTTATGTAATTTAATTTAGGTTTTGATACTCTACAATCCTACAATGAAATCAAATGCCTACTAGAGAGATTTAATGAATAAAATGGCATTATCAAATAATGAACATTTTCTAGAAAATATGTGAACAACTCTCTCCTTACAGACTAGACATCAACAGGAATATAAGTAATCTGTACAACAGAAGGAAGGGTACCAGAAGGAGAAGTTACTAAGAGTCAAGAGCTGTAAAAATGGCATTCAAAAGTTTGACTGACATTTCAGAATTTAGATGGATGACCAAACCACCAGCAATGTCAACACTGTTTCACATTGGGCACAAGCCCAGTTAACACCAAATGCTGCCTACCAAATACTGTATAAAATACAGTATACACTTAATGGGAGAGAGTAGCAGAGAAACATTTTTCTGATACACTGCTTGTGCACAGGTCAAACAAATTCCTTGGAGACAGGCACTACTTGTGTCCATGGGGAAGTGAAACAGAATTCTTCCTCCATAAGTCATGCATGTTTTAAGGGACAACTAAAATGCTGGGAGCAAGGGGCTAGTAACCCTTTCTCCTGTATATATTACTAAATTTAAAAAGAGAAACTTTCATTTTTCCTTTTGGGCCACCCTGCTTTGGTGGGATATGGCCAGTTTGTTGAAAGAAGAAGGAGGCACTACTTGTAATTTGGATGGATTATCAGCTAAAGAAATCATCCTTCGTGCAAACAATATGAAAGGTATTACAGTGATACTGTGGCCATGAGAGAATTAAGACAGTACCATGGCCACCAGAGGGCATAGGTGTGGGACAAATTCATTATTATCAAGAACTTTTCCAATACAAATACTTTGACCACAATTCCTAGTCTAAGACTGACACTAATGCTGGTGTGAAGATAGTGAAAAGACATTTTTGGTTAAATGGGAAATGTTATGTAGGAGTGAGAAGTGGTAGATCTACTGGGCTGAATAAGATGTTAGCTAGTGTTTTGTGAAAGCCAAATGAATTTTATAATCCATCCAAGATCTTTCAGGATCAGACTTGCTTTCTGGTTGTGTACCTAACAAGTCTTGAGGGTAATAAACAAATCCATATTCAAATCAACTATACCTCACAACTTACTTATTACTATCTTTCTACTGAAGAAGAGACTAAGCTACAGTTGACATGGGTTTGGTTCCTGCATTTCCAGGGGATTTCCAAACTGTTGAGCTCCATGATTCAAAAAAGGTTTACTCATGTTCACCCAACCAGTGAGTGAAACCAATGACCTTTATGGAAGTCCCAAGCTGGTGGCAGCAGTTAGACTGACTTTTCTTAGCAGGATAAGAAGTAGATAGAGCTCTGACAGTATATAATGAGTCACAGAAACAACACAAGCACCCACAATGCAACAGGGAAAGATAAATAACTACAAAGGAAACACACACAAAAGTTCAATGAATTTAAGAGACTTTATGTCCTTATTGTTTTTTTCAGGTTTAATGAATTTAACCCTTTGACTGTCGCAACCCCCAATCCTGAGGTGTCTCCTGGTGTCGCCAAATTTAAAAAAAAAAAAACTATTTTTTCTTATGAAATGATAGAGAATCTTTTCCCGATTGTAATGACACCAAAAAAACGAAATTTGATGGAAAACTGACAGAATTATGCTCTCGCGAAGTTAGCGACCTCGGCGCTGTTTACAAATCGGCGATTTCGCGCACATTGAGCCCTATTTTCGGCTAATTCCATTGTTCCAGTCGCCCAAACTCATAGTTATTTCTTTAGAACTCCATTTTTTCTATCGATTGAGTACAAGAAACTGCCCATTTACTGATTTCAACTACCTAATAATGTGGTCAGAAATTTGCAATTTGGCCAATTTCACGAAAACTAAAAAATATGACAATTTCAAAATAAGGTCCAGAATGAACAATGCAGACATTCCTGGCTCTAAAATAACATTTTCTTTGCTCATCAGTCATGTCTCCAGGCCCCTCTGATATTACTCTTGCTTTCTATTTTGAATTTTTATTCAAACAAAAATAGAAGACTTACTATTATGCAGACTACTGCAATACTGTAATAATTGTATAAATAACATCAATCCATTCATGACTGCATATTAGAATGGCTAGTTGGACGTTTATTGGACAATGACATCATTTGTTTACTTTTGAACATTGGCAAAAATCAAACATTTCCCCTACTTTGAGCTCCATTTCTAGGTTCTTTTTATAGTAAAATCAATCAAAATCACCTCTATTTCTGTAATAAGTTTTTCCATTCTATCAAATGAGACCAAGAAAACGAGAATACAACCATAAATACTATACGAAAATAGACCACAAAGTCAGCATTTTAATTAAAAAAAAAACGGTCGGAGTTTTTTTTTTCTCATTATGCACTGTGTGCTCCAGGATTTTTTTTATATGGTGCACACTGACCACACAGACCCATTCTCTCACATGTGGGCCTACCAGCTTTCTCCTGCTTGATTTGAAGCTGCTAGAATTTATGAGTATATAACTTAGATGCACACTTACCAAGAATTACATAAAATTACACTGATCTTCAAAAATTTATTTTTACTTTACTGTATGGACACAAAATCTAATAAAATTCATGAAACCAGGAAAGTAGTTGAGACTGAAGATGAAATGGCCATATAGAGCCCATAAAACTTACATTCAAAAGTTTCAATAGGTTATCATGCACCCTCTTCTTATCCTCTTCTGATCTCATCAGCTTAGTGCCCATAAATTCTAGGGCTAGGCCAAAGTACTCAGTGATGGCAGCGGTATTGTATGCACACTGAAGGGCCAAGGCCGACACAGATGATAAAAGACTCCACCACTTTTCGCTTCGGTAGTCCCACATCACATGATTCAGCAAGCTGTGGGCAGTACAAAAATTATGATATACAAATATCTATTAAGGAATACAAAAAAACAAATATACAGTAGAACTCCTATATCAGAGGATTTGGTTTCCACTGTTTCAGTTATCCATGATTTACTGTGGCCTAAAAATAAGCTTTAATGTTGTTTAATAATGATCACAAAGCACAAAAGTGGTGATAGTTGCAGTGCTTCAAAAAGAAACCATGAAGTGTTTCCTATCACTGAAAAAGTACTAATTCTCAACTTATTGTGTGTAACTCATTAATTAAACTAATCTACCCTTACCTCCCCTATGGTATTTGTGCTTGGAAATCTACTATGTCTAAGCATCTTAAACCATTAATTAATAACTAAACAAAAACCTGCTGTACGGATGATCACCAATTTCCGCACCAGACAACACACCCCTCCACTCTTCAAGAGTTTGAACTTACTTAATATACAAAATATGCACTTATATTATTGTGCCTACTGCATAAATAGAACATTAATCCTTTAAGGGTCCAGACCTCCAGTCTGAAAATTCCCCACAGGGTCCAAGAATTAAAAAAAAAAAAAATTATTATTTTTTTCTTATGAAATGGTAGAGAATCTTTTTCTGAAGGTAATAAAACAAAAAGTATGAGATTTAATAAAAAATTTACAAAATTACACTCTCGCAAATTTTGCTGTATCAGTGTTATTTACCCATCGGCAATTTTGCCCACTTTGGGTCTTATTTTCGGCCAATTACATTGTTGCATTAGACCAAATTCTTAGCTATTTAGCTAGTATGTGTTCCATTTTATCTACTGAGCACAAGAAATTGTCTAATCAACTATTTCAACTACCAATAAAGTAATCGGAAATTGGTAATTTGGCGAATTTCACATAAAGTTCAAAATATTCTAATTTTAAAATAGGGTCCAGAATAAACAATGTAGACATTCCTGGCACTAAAATAACATTTCCTCTGTTTATTACTTAAGTTTCCAGGCTTTACAGATGAATTCCATTTTATTTTTTATTCACGCCAAAAAATAGCAGATTTACTGTTATGCAATATTGGAATAATTGTATAAATAATATCAGCACATTCGTGAATGCACATCAGATCCACCAGCTGACATGTATTGCAAGCGTGATGTGATTTGTTTACTCATGAATAGCGGCAAAATCAAACATTTATGCTACTTTGAGCTCAATTTCGAGTTATTTTGAGTATTAAAACCAATCAAAATCATTTCTATTTCTGTAACATATCTTCCATTCTATCAAAAGAGACCATACAAAAATACACTGCAAAGTCACTGTTTTAATCCAAAAACATGGTCGTAGTTCTTTTCTCATTATGCACTGCATACTGCAAAATTTGTTTTTGGTTGATCCACGCCAACAACAAATACTCAACATCTTCGAGTATTTGCGATCTCTTTTTTGTGAGCATATCTACCCCTTTTGCAACAACAGCTTCGTTGATTTCCTTTTTCTTCTCCAAAATGGAAGTGATGGATGTATGGGGCTTCCCATACATCCTGGTAAGATGGGCCACACGCACACCAATTTCATATTTTGCAATGATTTCTTTCTTGAATTCTATCATGTTTCTCATATTCTTTACCAAAGGGCTGGCACTAGAAGCTTTCTTTGGGTCCATGGTGGCTTATTTTGCAGTTGCAAACACAAAAATTAATGGAATACATGTATTACGAAATGTATTATATGAACGTGTGGGGTGATGGTCACTTGCCAATAAACAATGCCAAACTGACTGGGAATGGTGTGTGGGGCACCTTTGTGTGGCGCAGATGCTGGGAGGCTGCTCATACGCATTCTGGATGACTGACAAATGGCAAGGCAAATTACGAACCACGAGGTTATATTCTGATGAAAAAAGTTGTCGAAAGACGAAATTTATGAAGCGCGAGGCTTACGAAACTCGAGGGTCCACTGTTAATAGAAAAGATGAAGTACCACAAGCTTAGTTTTGCTCTTATAAATACAAACAAGTAATCACAAAAAGAACATTACTATACAGAACTAGGCCTGTTCTGTATAGTTATGTTTTGTCCTGTTCTGTTCTGTTGTGTTTTGTCCTGTTCTATTCTATGTTTTGTCCTGTTCTGTCACATTTAGTCCTATTCTGTTCTGTTATGTTTTGTCCTGTTCTGTTCTGTTATGATATGCTTTGCTCTGTTATATTATGTACTGCTCTATTATATTCTGTTCTGTTGTTGCTCAAAATATAAGACTGATAATTAAACCAACTTCAGCAATCAATTATGATGGCCAGCTTGCCTTTCTTGCATACAAAACAACACTCTTCCAGACAACTACTGTGATTACAATGATGTTAATTATAATTATACTGTTGTGAGTAAAGGATTTAGAGGAATTCTTTATTCCTTGGAAGTTTATAAAGAACTTCAGAATTTTGGCCTGTTAAAAAATTTCCCTCTCAAGCAACAAGGATTGAATTAAATCTAGTTTAAATAATTTTAGAGTCCTAGGGGTAATTTCAACTAGGAAAACTTAATACAATAATATTAAAAAACTATTATGTTAATATTAAAGCATTTGAATAATATTTTATCTTCTCTTTGTACATAATATTATATCTTAATACTGTAAGTACAATAGTTTATTTATTTACCGAAATAATATATAAAGTTCAACACATGGAAATATCACATAACAATGAACACTAATCTTTAACTCTTTAAAATTTTAAGACTTCACAAACACCAATCTTTGCCTCAACAGACTGTAATTAAACCCAACTGGCATAAATGTACAAAATTAACAAGACCTCTGAATTCCTGTCATAAAGAAGACAGACAGCTAGAATTTGTCTGAAAAGACATATCCTCTAAAGATTGTCTGATGGAATGCCCAAGAATAAATACAAATTAATCTTCGGAACTATACTGAATGAAACTATGAGCCAGCTCTTAAGTCTATATTCTCAAGAACATTTCAAAACTGAAGTGAATCTAAGAGAGAACCAAAATATGATCATAGTCAGGGCTAGATCAAGGAGCAGACTGACTTACTGGCCAGTCTGTTGACTGTCATCAGGTTGGATCACGTGACAAACGTCAGTATGCTGAACATAAAACAAGTGAACAATTTAACCTGATGGTTTCCTGACTTTTGTATGTTCTACACGCATATAAGAAATCCTATCCTAACAATAATAATACTAAAAATCATTGATATCGATATAATAATAGTAATAATAAAATAATAATAATGATAATGAAAATATCATGGTATAATTATACACTGACAGATAATAATATAAACGCTGAAAATCTCTTTTTACTATAAACGGAGACTTCTGCGCTAAAATATTTAAGTGATAATCATCATTCTAGACAACAGTTAAATATTACAGATGACCTATCTCGCAAGGTAACAACAAAACTAATTATATTCAGGAAAAAGCTAACCCCACAGAAATCAGAGGGACAGGGGTATCAGGTTTGATCCACAGAAAAGAACAGCAATCAATTTCTTGGAACAATAGTTTCATCACAGTCAGGCACTCCATCCTTTCTCCTCAAAGGAGGATGATCCTAGAAAGATTCATTTTTCTAAACAGTACTGAATAATACTGAAGTAATGTTGGTTAATGAGTGAATAAACTTACGTAAGAGCCTTGGAGGATCATTGGCTTGATGATATTCTTCTGCCATCTGAACCATAAGGTGTCGCTTAATACTGTGACATCGATATTTCCTTAACAGACTAATTGCTGAAGAAAATAATGAAGGATGGTGTTGAATGATTTACTTCTTTTACTCATGTACTGGACCTCCTATTAGCAAAAAAGTAATTATTCATGTTAAAGAAGCACAATCTAATGTACCAATTAGTGAACTAATTTGCAATACAAATTGTCCCTCCATTCAATTCATTATCTTGCCAGAAGGGTGGTGACAGTGACTGACTGATAATGACTATTTCTTCTTGTTAGTCACCTTAACTCTGTGGACACGCTGTGGGTGTTTAACCAAAAAAATGGCACACACACATATGTAAAGTAGGCATCATACATCTGCACACACACAAACAGATCACAAAAAAAAAGAAACTACTCACTATAAACCTATTGTTTCAAATATATAATACTAAAATATGTACATAGATGTATATGTTTTCTCTCCTAAACCAGTATTTTGTAGTATACTTTCCTCTTGATTCACTCCTTAAGTCCCCTAGGCACTGATAAAACTAAGTTATATGAAGGATAGACAAGTCAATACCTTCTGACATCTCCCTTAATATCACTCAAGATTCTGAGTCAGAGGGAACATCTATGCCATGAATCTTACACTTAATAAGTTTCCCAATATTCTTTATCAGATTTAAGTTCAGTGAGTTCTGGATCAGTCTTTAAAAGTGTGGAAATTCACAATAATTTAGCCAGTTCTTCATATTAGTGGCAGTATGGCAAGTGGCACTGTCTTCCATACACAAGAGTACGGAAGAATACATTGGATTGAAAGTGAATCCAAACGCTGAATGGGGCATTAGAGTTAGGCAGGTGTTACAAAATTATATCAATACTATAAAGATATACTTTTTTTTTTTTTTTTTTATTATCACACCGGCCGATTCCACCAAGGCAGGGTGGCCCAAAAAGAAAACTTTCACCATCATTCACTCCATCACTGTCTTGCCAGAAGGGTGCTTTACACTACAGTTTTAAATTTGAAACATTAACACCCCCTCCTTCAGAGTCGGCACTGTATTCCCCATCTCCAGGACCAAATCCGGCCGGGGGGTTTCCTGAATCCCTTCATAAATGTTACTTTGTCACATCAACGACGTCAAGTATTAAAACCTTTGTCTCCTTTCCCACTCCTACACACACGCTCACGATGCCTGCGGGAATCCAAGCCCCTCCAACAAAAACCCCTTACCCCCTCCCTCCAACCCTTCCTAGGCCGACCCCTACCCACCCTTTCCCTTTCCATACGATGTACACCTTAAAGTCATTCTGTTTCGCTCCATTCTCTCCTACATGCCCCGAACCACCTCAACAACCCCCCTCAGCCCTCTGGACAACAGTTTTGGTAATCCCGCACCCCTCCAATTTCCCAAAAACTACAAATTTCTCGCTTTATTTTCACAACCAATTGCCCTCAAATGACATCTCCACTGCCCCAGCCTTTCCTCGCTGCAACTTCATCACCACGCTTCACACCCATATAAAGCTTTTTTAAAACTATACTTCATACTTCCCCCTTTTTGCCCCCCAGGAACAAGTTCTTTGTCCCCACAGACTCCAAAGTGCACCACTCACTTTTTTTCCCCTCAAAATTCTATGTTTCCCCTCACTTTCAAACCCCCACCCGCTGAATGTCCCTCCCCAAATATCTGTACGTTCACCCCCTCCATACTCTCTCCCCCAATCTGAATTCAATTTTCTCACCTAATCTTTTGTTATCCTCTAACCTTACTCTTTCCTGTATTCCCCTTTAATTTTTTTCTTTTGCACACCCTCCCAAATTCATCCCCCAATCTCTGCAACTTCTTTTCAAAATCTCCCAAGAGCAAGGTCACACAAAGAAGCTGTGAAACTCCCCCTTTGTGTGTGATTCTTTTTTTTTTAACTAGCCTCTTGCCAAAGACCCCGCATTTACTTTCTTACCCCCCCTCTATAAAATATTAAAAAAACCACTGACATCACACACCCTTTGTTAAGGCTACTTTTCGGGGAAAAAAATTTTCCCTTTTTCCCAAATACCTAACTTGAGCCTCATATCCTCTTTAAAAACTTTCACTGCTTTTCGTAACCTACCCCCTACACCATACACTTGCAACATCTCCCCAATTGCCCCCTTCCCACCTGCATAAACCCTTTTCCAAAACCTAAATGCCACAAAGACCTCTTTAAACCCTTATCTAAATATTTTCACTTTATGTTTCACTGAAAAACACCGGTCCACACCCCCCTACCTTTCCTAAACCCTCCTTGTTCATCTGCTATCCTATTCTCCGTCTTACTTTTAATTTTTTTCAATTTAACTCTCCCAAACACTTTCCCAAAGCGGGAAAAAAAGAAAAAAAAACTTGCAAACTATGTGAAACTAAGTGTGTGAAAGAGTTTCCTTGCATTGATCTGCACTAAGCAAAGGTAAATATTTTTTGTGATCCAACCTTTTAATCATATTTTGGGAAATGCATTACTTTAAAAACACATTATAAAAATCCCTTTTAATCGTACAGTACTGCATAGTACGGTTTTTTTTTTACATGTTTTAAACTGCACTATTGCTGATATAGCTAAATTTTATGATGTGTGAAAAATTTATAAATTGTAATACTTTGTAGGCCACCAACCATTGTATACAACCTTTGTTATTTAAAATTTCTTTATCCCCTGAAAAAATTTTTGTGTTTTTTTCCCATAAGGTGTCCCAAATGTTGCACACTTTTTCTTATTTAAAATCTACATAAAATGGGTAGATGCCTTTAAGCGAGAAACATCATCTCTATAAATTTTCTTTGTGTCTTATCTGTCCCTTTATTTAAGGCAGCTATACAAGAATCAGAAAAAATATGTAAAAACTAACCATTATGCCCTCTGCTTCTCTCTGTTGCTTGGAGGTTCAAGAGAACGTTTGCCTGGTCCCAGGGACGCTGCCCATAAAACTCTAGCTTACTCCAGCCCTCCAGTAAGTCTGAGACTGGAGCTGACACATCCTGCAAGAAAACAATTTTCAAAGATTATCTTCAATAACAAATATAGACCTCAAAAACAGTTAAGGCTAACTTTAAGTTTATTTGTTTTTTTACTCAACAGTTATCTCCCACAAGGCAAGGCAACCCAAAGAAGACACACTCACCATCATTCATTCAATCATTTTCTTTCCAGATGTTGTGCTAACACCACAATCCAGACTGCCTTCCAACTACAACATCCTATTTCTGCCTTCAGAGTGAAGGTTTCTACCCTTCCCATCATGATTAAAAATAATCCCAAACCACTTTTTGCAAAATATTTTTTCTTATTAAATCAATTCTATTCTGTGAAATATTTCAGTACAAATCTGTAGTATATGCAGTATATGTAGTATATCTGTAGTATATGCTTCTAAACTGTTGTGTTCTGAGCACCTCTGCAAAAACAGTGATTAAGTGTGAGTGAGGTGAAAGTGTTGAATAATGATGAAAGTTTTTCTTTTTGGGAATTTTCGTTTCTTTTTTGGGTCACCCTGCCTCGGTGGGAGAAGGCCGACTTGTTTAAAAAAAAAAAAAAAATCTGTAGAAGAATTTGAGTTCTTTTTCCGTAAAACCATGCGTGTCGTAAGAGGTGACTAAAAGCTGGGAGCAAGAGGCTAGTAACCCCTTCTCCTGAATATAAATTTCTAAAGTTAAAAAGAGAAACTTTCATTTTTCTTCTTGGGCCATCCTGCTTCAGTGGGATACGGCCAGTTTGTTGAAAGAAGAAGAAATCTGTAGTGGAGGGAAGGAGGGGTAGGGGTCGTCCTAGGAAAAGATGGAGGGAGGGGGGGAAAAGAGGTTTTGTGTGCAAGGGGCCTGGACATGCAGCATGCATGTGTGAGCATGTAGATAGGAGCAGACAAGAAGAATGGTTTTTGGGACCTGATGAGCTGTGGAGTGTGAGCAGGGTAATATTTTGTGAAAGGATTCAGGTAAACCGGCTAGCTGGACTGAGTCCTGGAGGTGGGAAGTACAATGTCTGCACTTTAAAGGAGGGGTGTGGGATATTGGCTGTTTGGATTTCATATCTAACTGTCATATTTGGGTGCCCTCTGCAAAGACAGTGAGCTGTGTGAATGAGGGTGAAAGTTTCTTTTTCAGGTCACCCTGCCTCAATGGGAGGCGGCCAACATGTTTAAAAAAAAAATCCTACATCTAGCAAAATTTTCTAATACACGAGCCCCCTACAAGGACTATCAATTAACCTTTTTAATTATACTACTTTTTTTTTTTTTTAACAAGTTGGCCGTCTCCCACCGAGGCAGGGTGACCCAAAAAAAAAGAAAATACCCCAAAAAAAAAATACTTTCATCATCATTCAACACTTTCACCTCACTCACACAAATCAATTTTTGCAGAGGTGTCAGAAAAACAGTTCAAAAGAAATACGTATAAAAATACACAATAAATGTTTCCCTAAACTGCCAATATCCCAAACCCTTCCTTGAAGTGCGGGCACTGTATTTCCCCTTTCCGGGACCAAGCCCCGGCTATATAAAAAAACCCCGGTTTCCCCGAATCCCTTCACTAAATTTTCCCCCGGCTCACACTCCAACACTCGAGGTCCCAAATCCCATTTGTCTCCATTCATCCTACTAACCGCTCATGCTGTTTGCTGGAAGTCCAACCCCTCACCCACAAAAACCTCCTTTACCCTTTCCCCTCCAACCTTTTCGAGGAGGGACCCCTACCCCGCCTTCCTTCCCCTACAGATTTATATGCTCTCCATGTCATTCTACTTTGATCCATTCTCTCTAAATGACAGCAACCACCCAGGGAGGTACTACCATCCTGCCAAGTGAGTGTAAAACAAAAGCCTGTAATTGTTTTACATGATGGTAGATTTCTGGTGTCTTTTGTCTGTCTCGTAAGTATGCAAGATTACAGGTATTTCTTGCTACTTCTACTTACACTTAGGTCACACTACACATACTGTACACGTTTATTTATACACACTCATCTGAGTTTTCTTTGATTTTATCTT